AGGGAGTTGAAGATTAGTTAGTTATAGTTGAAGGTTAGTTAGTTATAGTTGAAGATTAATTAGGATAGAAAGTGAATTAGATACATTTTGGACTTAACAAAATAGGATAGATAATGAAATTATTTTCTCTGAATTTGTCAAATACAAATGGACTAGACATTGTTTAGACATTTATTACTTGTATATATTGTATATAGTCATTGTACTTTTGTATATAGTTTTTCTTTTGTTAGTTATAACCTTTTTCTTTTTTTTCCTTTTTATTAAAATAGAAAAGGGGAAAAAAAAAAAAAAAAAAAAAAGAAACAACACAAATTGGGGGGGGGCGTTGGGGGGAAGGTGAGGGGGACGGGAGGGGGGAGAACAAGGGAATCCGTGACCAATATGTAGAACTGAATTGTATTGCAAAATAAATTAAAATAAATTAAAAAAAAAAAAAAAAAAAAAAAAAAAAAAAAAAAAGAAGTCAGGAAAATGGAGGCTATTACTGGGTCTTAGAGCTGTAAATAAAACCATGCTTCTCATGGGAGCAATACAGCCTGGCTTGCCTGCCCCTGTGGCTATTCCTAAACATTGGCATTTAATTGTGGTTGACTTGAGGGATTGTTTCTTCACCATTCCTTTGCATCCTGAGGACAGTCCTCTCTTTGCTTAGTGTTCCATCAGAAAATCTCAAAGAACCTGATCAGAAATATCAGTGGGTGGTCTTGCCCCAAGGAATGGCCAATAGCCCTACTATATGTCAAATTTATGTCTTTGGCCATAGCTCCAGTTTGAAAAGCTTTTCCAAATGTTTATATAGTTCACTATATGGATAATATTTTATTGGCTGCTAAAGACAAAAAGCTTGTTTTTTGATGCCTTTTCTAAATTATAAGAGGTTCTTAGCCTGGCTAATTTACAAATAGCCCCAGAAAAGGTACAGGTATCCTTTCCCTATCATTATTTAGGTCATGAATTCTTATGCATAGGCATACGTCCACAAAAGATTACTCTGCGTATGGATCAGCTATGCAAACTTAATGATTTCCAAGCCTTTTTGGGAGATATTCAATGGCTTTGGTCCACTTTAAAGATTCCAACAGGTCAGCTTCGTCCTTTGTATGATGTCTTAAAGGGCAACCCTGGCTATTTATCTCCCCATGAATTAACAGCTGAAGAGTGTACAGCCCTACAATGTGTGCAAGAGGCCCTGGAGCAGGCTCATGTGCAATATATAGATCTTTCTTCTCCCTTATTGTATTTGATATTTTGTTTTCTCATTCACCTACTGGAGTGTTTTGGCAAACAGGTCCTATTCTATGGGTACATTCCCCAGTTTCTCCAGCGAAAACCATTATTCCTTATCCTCAGGCTGTTGCTCAGATTATATTTAAGGGAATCAAGATCAGTGTTCAAACTTTTGGTAAGGAGCCAGATATTGTGGTGACCCCATACACCCAGTCTCAAATAGCATGGTTGCAAGCTAATGATAATGATTAGGCCATATTGACATGCTCCATGCAGGGTCAGTTTGATACTCACTACCCCTCCAATGATGTGTGTAAATTTTTAAAATTGCATCCTGTTATATTTCCCAAGATAGTACAGATGACTCCTATTCCTCAGGCCCATGTGGTATTTACTGATGGCACTTCACGTGGTTTTGCTATGGTGGTTTCTGGTAACATAGTGAAGAGAATGAAAGTCCAAGGTACTTCCGCCCAGATGGCTGAGGTACAGGCACTGTTGCTTGCTTTACAGATGTTTTCTGATGAGTGTGTAAATACTTAAACTGATAGCCAATATGTGGCACATGCAGTTATGCCTTTGGAGACAACAGCCTACATACCATCCATTTCTCCCATTCATGAATATTTATTGCAAGTGCAAGGACTCATATGGTCCCGCTCACATAACCTTTATGTGGGCCATATTAGAGCTCATACTCAATTGCCTGGACTTCTAAGCAAAGGTAATCAGAGGGCTGATGCCATTACTTATATGGCTGTCACATTAGTTTGTTCTGTCTTTGAAAAGGCTACTCAGTTGCATCAATGTTATCATCTTAATGCGGGATCTCTTTGTCATCATACGGGCATAACCCGGGAACAAGCCATCCAGATAGTTAAATCATGTCCTATTTGTGTTGAATTTTTACCTGTTCCTCATTTGGGAGTTAATCCCCGAGGACTTTTACCTAATCATGTGTGGCAGATGGACGTCACACACGTTCCTTCCTTTGGAAAATTAGAGTATGTCCATGTGTCTATTGATACAGATTCTTGTCTAATTTTTGCCTCTGCCCATTTAGGGGAAAAGGTTCAAGATGTAAAGAATCATTGTCTTCATGCTTTTGCTTACATGGGAGTGCCAAAATGCATAAAAACTGATAGTGGTCCCGCCTACAGCAGTACGGGATTTTCAAAATTCTGCCAAGATTTTTTTATCGTTAATAAGACTGGTATTCCTTATAATCCTTAAGTACAGGCTATAGTAGAATGCTGCCATCGTACCTTAAAAACATATATTGCTAGAGTAAAAAGGGGGGAGCTAGGGACTCATCTCTCCTCTTCACATTCTATTCTTTCCCTTATTTTATATATTTTATTTATTTATTTTTTATTTTTTTTTTTTTGGTTTTTCGAGACAGGGTTTCTCTGTGTAGCTTTGCGCCTGTCCTGGAACTCACTTGGTAGCCCAGGCTGGCCTCGAACTCACAGAGATCCGCCTGGCTCTGCCTCCCGAGTGCTGGGATTAAAGGCGTGCGCCACCACCGCCCGGCTTTTTTTTTTTTTTTTGGTTTTTCGAGACAGGGTTTCTCTGTGTAGCTTTGCGCCTGTCCTGGAACTCACTTGGTAGCCCAGGCTGGCCTCGAACTCACAGAGATCCGCCTGGCTCTGCCTCCCGAGTGCTGGGATTAAAGGCGTGCGCCACCACCGCCCGGCTTTTATATATTTTAAATTTTTTAATCAGTGGATTCTGCTGGAGTATCTGCTGCAGATAAGCACTGGAGGGCTTCTGTTGCAAATCATCCTCTGGTGCAATGGAAGGATCTTTCTACTGGTACTTGGAGGGGACCCGATCAGGTGTTGGTGTGGGCCTGGGGTTCTGTTTGTGTCTTTCTGCAGGACAATGAGGTTTCTCTTTGGGTTCCTGAGCACTGTATGCACCCTGTGGCTGCTGCTGAAGCCCAACATAGCCGAGACCTATTGGGCCTTCATGAAAAACTCTCCCCTTCTGATACCAATGGGGACTGAGAGCCCAATACGGCCAGCCTTGACAAGCATTAATGTAAACCTAGGAACTGTAGCCATGTGGTTGGATTCTTCAGAAGGTAATGTATGGTAACTGCTCTTTCAAGTATGTTTGAGAATGTGTCACCCAGACACCTTGGAGATTAAGGATAACCCTGAAGGTCACTGACCTCCATTTGTTAACAGTAGCATGCCAGCTAAGCCTTTTCACATTTTGCAACCCTCTTCAAGCTGGTGTAGTACCTACTTTTCAGGAATGGCTCTGTGCAACATTTTTTGATGTCCTGAAATTCATCTAACCCCTTTTGAAGATACCTTTAAAATTTGTGAGCCTGAATGTAGCCATTATGAGACAATTAGCTCTGCTCCTTGTGAGCTGCCTGTTTTTCCTTTATGGTTCTTAGTTGTTCTTTTGCAGAGCTGCCAGCTTAAGTCATTCTGGGATCAAGAAAATTGGGCCTTGGTGGTTTGTGTTCCTGGAGTTGTGTCCATGCCAGTGGACCATGGCAGTAAGACACAGATGGTGCTCACACGCTCCAGAAGAGAATTTGACATTGCTGCTGCCGCTGTTGCCATTATAGCAGTGGTGGCCACTGCTGCTACTGTTTCTGGGATTACCATTTCATAATTGGTTACTACAGCTAGCACAATGGAGACCTTGGCAGCAAAAGTAGTTATCACCGTTAATTACTCTTTCATTCTATTGGGCATGGTAAATTTAATTCAGTAGTTATATACATTTCAATTGGCTTTGAAATTTATAAACTCAAGTTCCATTTGCTTTTGGGATACCATCTTATGAGGACTCCTATTTGCAGTAAGGCTTGAAGGAAGGGAATGGCTCAATTGCCTTTAGCCTATTGGCTACGGTGGGTTAGGACTTCTGTTGGTCTTTTCTGTGTCAAATGCACAGATTGCAAGCCCAGCGCCACTTTGAGATCTTTGGCAGCAGTTAACTCTGCAGTTCACGTGGTTGAGCCTGTATGATAATGAGTATTCAGAGACGGGTAATTCCTGGAGGGCGCTGACCAACCTAAGACAGAGTTCCTGTGTGGCCTGGGCAGGTGTCTCCATGACGGGTAAGGTGATCTCCTGACGTCCCACACAACCTAAGTCAGAAGCTCATTTTTTTAGTAAAAGGGGGGACTTGTAGGGCCCTGGCCCCCATTTGGGTAGCTGTTGCCTTGCTTGCTGACCTTGACCTTGATGTCCTCCGTATGCTAATTCCCTGCCAGTTTCTACTATCCTGAATGCTTAAGGGAAGTTCCTTGTCTGTGTGTCCTGCATATTGGGTGTTAACAGCTTAGATGCAAGATTGTAAATCTTTGGTAGTGAACTTCTGCCCTCTGGGGTTCTCCCATTGTGCTGTAATCCTGTATTTAAGGTTTCCTCCCACTTTCAATAAATGGCATTCGGCATTCTGCTGAGGCAAATGACCCACTATCTCTTGTCTCTGTTTTTTGATCCACAGCCCCTTGCTCGGACATGGTAAACGGGTGGTGGTAGCGTTACCACTACAGCTGATTCTGTGATTACACACATATTAGAAGCTATGACCATCATGGGAATACCTGTACAAATTAAGACAGACAATGCCCCAGCATATGTCTCCAATAAAATGAGACAGTTTTTTGCTTATTACAATATAAAGCATGTTACAGGTATATCACACTATCCCATAGGCCAAGCAGTCATAGAAAGACCAAATCAAACTCTAAAGGATATGCTAAATAAACAACAACAGGTAATAATGACTCCTAGAAATTGATTGCATAATGCTTTATTAACATTGAATTTTCTCAATGCTGATGAGAAAGGAACAACAGCTGTGGAGAGACATTGGATGACAGACAAAACTTCAGAGTTTAATCAACCAGTTTATTTCAAAGATGTGTTGACCTCAGAATGGAAACCAGTATACGACCTATGTTGGGGAAGGGGTTTTGCTTTCGTTTCTGCAGGAGAAGAAAAGCTATGGATACCAATAAAATTAATAAAAATTTGATTTGAACAAGAGAAACCCCTTGATGAGGAGAAGTAAAAGCTTATCTAGCAATGCGACATTTCTTCAACTTGTAAGAGAAACTTAACAAAGGTTGGGGTAGGGTTCTGTTTTTGTCTTTACAGCATAATAGAAATACTCATCTTCCAGAAATCATAAGGCCTTGGATATCCAGACATCTATAGTGGAAAGAAAAAAATCTATTGGTACCAATCTACACAGGGTAATATCTCACTGCCTACCATCTATATCTCTTTAATTCTAGAAAAGTTGTGGTTCCAATTCAATTATATTACCATGCTGGTTTGGGAGTTGGAATTGGCTTACTCCTACTCTAAACCCAAGCATACTGCTAAAAGAAAAAGTTTGAGAGATTCTGTGTCATATCAGAAGAGCTGTCTAGTGTGGGACAGAAGAAAACCAGTAAAAAGGGACCATTGTCTTCAAGATTCTAATTCTCTCCATGCTTATTCTTGATTTCTTGGAATCCTTTCTTATATATCATGTCATCTTTAAATCCAACCTTTCCATTTTGATATTAATAATGTTCAAGTTTTTCACAGTAAAAAAATTAGTTTTTCCAATAGCAATCTCTGAATTCTCCAGAAGGAAGATGGGGCCCCACAACAACAACTCTATCCAGTCCAGAATGATGCCAGGGTACTCATCATCATACTACACTTCTAGCCAGAATCTCAGACAATCTTACCCATTACTCTGGTACTGGCTGCAGAATCTACAGTTAGTCCAACTGAGATTTAACTATCTGAGCTTTCTTACAGAACTCCACAGAGACACCATCGCCTCCTGAACAGCAGGAAGCAATTCTAAGAAAATGATGCTCTTTTTCCCAAAAGTTTCATGTTTCTGAGGGTTATAGATAATGGTTATAGGGTTGAGGGTGGAAGAAAACATTGGACTCAGTATTCCCCTTAAGAAAAGAAAAAAGGGGGAATGGACAGGTATAGGATATTAAGGTAGATTATTGTATATACTAGTAAACTAATTTAGTAAAATATCAGCCTTAGGTAAATTGTACTGTTATGGATTCCTATATATTGATACAAATGTAAGCTATTTTTATATTCATATTCCAGATAATTTGTATATTGATACAAATACAGAACTGTATTTGTTGTAATATACATATATTTCTACTCTTATTTGAAATGTTTCATATATTGATACAAATGTAAAATTATATTTATCATACTGTATGTATGTTCTACGTCTGTTTAGGATATTTGGTATATTGATGTATATTTAGGATTATTGTTATATTGTACTAGACATTTCTGCCTCTGCTTTTGCTATTTTGTGTATTGTCACAATTTTGAGGTCATTGTCCTTTTGCTGTACAATTGCTTATAGACTGTTTACCCTGTTTAGATGAAGCCTTAGTCCTTAGGTTATCTAGATAGATAAGACTTGCAAATTTATAGTCACCAATGCATGTCATCTCTATAGTTATGTTAGTTAGGTTCTCCAGACTTACAAAAACATGTCAGGTGAATAGGTGATCTTCAAACACTTCATAGACCTGATGAATATGGCTTTTAAATGTTTTGATAACTTGGAATTCTGTTAATGTGAGACACAATTATTCCTGGCAGCACCGATCTGATCCCAAGAGAATGTTGGGCTTCTGAGATATTTCCGTCTGGAAGTTTGTCTTCACCTTGGCACAAAATGGCCTACTAGACAAAGAACTGCCCTTGCCTCGACTGCTGACAATAAAATGGTCTGACAGATACTCTAGGCCTATAGCCAATTTGAATGCACCAGTAATGCTGAGAAACTTTAGGTGAATGTCCAGGCTGCCAGCTGTCTCTGTCTACTCTCACAAGACTCCCAAAAGTTGCTTGCATCCTTCTACTATTTCTAAGGTATTATTCTATCCTTCTCAGGTCTTTGATGGGATTGAAGACTAACAGTTATCGTTACAACCTTCTTGTATCTTAGCTAGAACATATTAAGTATTAGATTTAGATTCTTTAGGATAGGACATCTTTTGGAATGATCTTTGTAATGTGCCATTTACCTATGCTCCAGACTTCTCTGGATTTTAGTCTGTGTCTCTTGTTTGATATTATTCGTGTTGGTTGTAGTTCAATCTTGTCTAGGTCATTATCCTTTATTCCTCTTGGACAATATTTGATAATCATTCCTATTGTATATAGTTTTGTATTAGAACTTTTTTATTTAGACAAAAGGGGGAGACGTAGTGGGTAGCTGTTCCAGCTTTACCCCAGTGAGGCTTCCCGTAATTGCCACACCTACCTATGGCCTGCCCCTTAGGTGGGGCTGAGACGGGAACCTTTAAGACCCAAGATTCAGATGTGCTGGCTCTCTTGGTTCCTGGTGATCCTGGATGCTGGATGGTAGACCGAGCAGAGTTCTCCAGAGATCACCTCTCCCGGATCCTGTAACCTATCCCTTTACTTGCTGCAAATTACCTCAAAATAAACCTCCCTTAAACTATGTGGAGTTGCCTTAATAAATCCCCCATTAGTGACATGCCCAGTCTTGTGCAAGAGTAGTTCAGGTAACCATAGCAGTTGCAAGTTGAAATGATTGCAATGGCTGTGTTCCACCCAGTGATGGCATTGTGCAGCCCCTCTCCTTATCATATAATCTCTCTGCCCATAGGCCACTGTGTTCCTGAGCTCAGAGGAGCTGGTATAAATGTCTTGTTTAAGGCTCAAAATTCAACCATCACTTATTCTCAGCACCTGAGAAGCCATGGGTCTCTGCATTTACCATTGTTCACTGCAAAGAGAGGGGGGTTTTTCTCATTGAGGCTGATGGTAGCATTTGTCTATGGGTATAATTATAGCTATTTAGAAGGTCATTAGATGCTATGTCCATTTAACTAGATAACAGTATTAAGTTCCCCCTATGTCCTATGATGTCCCCAAGCATGTGCTTTTCACCAGATTTACAGTACCGTGTATGGGTTCTTTTCTGTGGAAAGGACTCAAATGTAATCAGAGTGTAGTTGGTTGCTCACATAACAGTTTGTCACTGTAGCAAAGAGGGCATATCTAGCCCAGGAGGATCACAGCTAGGTGAGACTGCTGAAGACTTTTCTCCTCCAGTAGCCAGTGTGGTTTCTTCTGGCACTATGAAAGCTAGCCAGCATGGAGGAAGCTTTCAGCTGTTTTCTCTGTATCTTCCAACCAAGATGGGTGTCATCTTCAGACATAGGATCTTATCATCTAGTTGTAGAAGGCAACCAAGGTTAGAACTTGTGGCTTTATAGGGCTGGGAGAACCAAAAGCAAGGCAACTCTTCCTCCACAGCAAAAGTGGCTCGTTTCTGTGATCACCTCTGTGATTCTTACACATTTTGAATTTCTATTTCTATTTGGTGCTTCAGTTGCTGTTGCTGATGGGGTCACATAGTTCCCCAAGCATTGCAGGCTACAGCCCATACTCCCTGTTACTGCTCCCCCTAGAAACCAGCATTTCTTTACCTCCTTCCTACACTACTCATAGTAGCATGGTCAGAAGCCAATTCCCAGATTCTCATGTCACTGACAACATGGGTGTCTATCTGAGCAGTTGGTTTGGTTATTAAAGCTAATAACCATTGATTTGTGGATCAGAATCTTAGGAGCATTCTCAGGTCAGTGACACATGCACTTGGTCCTGGAAGGACTGAAGGACTGAGAACTGGAGAGGCTGCAGGCCTGAGGAAAGGGGTGGCCTTGTTTCTGTTCCTCACAGAGAAAGGAGGGCCATAGAGGCCAGAGAGACACACATGAGCAGAAAGAGGGTGGGTCAGTAAGTGTGTGTTGGTGGGCCACTTCAGTGGGCCAGGTCGGCACTTTCCCCCCTTTGGATGCCTTCCAGGGTCTTCCTGTGCTTTCAGGCAGTGAACCAGCAGTGAATCTCCATCCACTTGCCTGGGTGTACAAGTTGTGTTAAGAGAGTTCCAGCAGCCAAAGAGAACAGATGTGCCAGGTAGATGGGTAGGTGCAAGGACCTGAGATCCCTCTGTCACACACTCTGTTACCACCATCTGCTTATACACCATCCCAGTCATGACCACAGGAGCAGGGGAGCCCTTCGCATTTGAGCCTGGGATAATCTTCCTGTCAGACTTCTACTCTATGTTCCAAGGCAGTCAGATGGCTCCAGCCCTGTAACCCAAATAATCCCCAGATGGGAGGTGTTCAGGCCTGGCCTGAGATGAAGGGGAGCTAGACCTGGGCCTGGGAAGGGTGGGTAGGGAGCTGTCTGCCATGTTCTCTGAGTACTTCCCTGAGGCTGTGATTGTCAGGTAGATGGAGACCAAAGCCTTGTTTCTTCCAGTACCTGTGGAAGGAAGGCATGATAAAGAGGTGAGAAGGTGTCAGACAGAAGGACCCTAGCCTGCTAGGACCAGTCCTTGATCTAGCAGGAAAATCCAAAAGGTGGAGTCCCTGGAAGTTCAATTGGTCTGCAGGCCCTGGGCGGAGACCCACAGACAGGCTGAGCCCTTCTGAGCCAAGCCAGTCTGTGGTTCTCCACCCCTCCCCCAGTCCTTGCCATATCCCCCCCCCCCCGGAAGTTCCTGGCCCACCTCTAACCTCCAGTCCCTGATGTAGACAGGAATATGGACACGGAGTCCTGGGTATCGCTCTCCAGCCTCTTCTCAGCACACATGGACTTCAGCATCTGGAAGACATGGAGGGGAACCACATCAGATTCATCAAGTTCACCAGGATCCTCGGGAAACAAATGTGCTGCTTAGTGAAACCTGCAAGTCTCAGGGCAGACCTGCTCCATGAGCTGGGGCAGCTGGGCCACCACCCTGAAAACCGGTACAGAGACGTGGAAGTTTTCATAGTAGCTGATGGGGGCTCTGAGGGGTCCTGAAGCAGGCCTATCTGCAGGGAGTATGAGCTGGAAGCCCTGACTCTTGCCTTCTCACTTGAACACCTGAAGATCGATGGCGATGCCAGCAGCCTGTGCAGCCTCACACAGCTCCATCACCTAGGTTCCCAGCACTTCCTTCCACCAAAGTGCCAGCTTTTGCTATATAGCTGCCTCCAGCCCTGTGGATGTCCGGAGTCCAGCACCACTACCAGCTGCCACCAATCCAGGAGCCAGAAAAAGGTGAGCTCTGGGCCCAGGCCGCCAAGGAGGTTCCACAGCGCCTCCTACTGGCCACCAGTTTCCATGCAGGTTCCCTCAGGTCCCATCCATGCTGCTCCAGCAAGGAGGGCAGAGACTGGGAGGAATCTTTACATAGTTGATTGCTTGACTTGTACTGAGTACCTAGTGTTCACAGGACAGTGTGTTAGACATGTGGATAGTTTGGTGCAAAGCAGCACCCAGAACCGTGCCTGGCATATACTGGGTTCTTGGTAGATGTCTGTTGGACAATGGGTATTCATGATTGCATGTAATTATCTCTTCTGCCGAGGGTCCCTAAACAGCTTTTACTTTTATGCGCAGACTCATTCTTTTTCCCTGGAATGCATACATTTAGGCCGAAGGGGAAGCGGACGCCATCACTGCACATGCACCTTTGTAGCCAACTGCTCTTTGTTCCTATGCTCTGTGGGGTTTTGTATTGCACATGCGCGTTTCCCAGGCAGTTGTGGAGGTTTTCCTACTAGGCAGGGGGCGTGGCTTGATGACTCATTTTGATGATACTATTTCCAGGTAGTGTGGCTGGCTGGAGAGTGGTATCTATTTCTGAAGGTAGGTGGACTCATACAATGACCAGAGACGAACCCAGCAAGTCAGCTTGGCCTGTGTGATGTGAATGGCAAATGTTTGACCGGCCACCATGAGACAGGTGTCACTGCAGTCTGTGCAGAGTGACCCGAGGGTCCAGTCCAGGAGGCCCATAAAGGGGAAATGGGACGAGGAGGGGCATTTAAGATTTGTGCAGGTGTTCTGAGAGATGTTTGGTCTCATAATGCTTTGTTTGGATAATTTAAGGCGAGAGGGTCAGGACGAGATGGGGGAGGGGAACCAGCATCAGATTATAGGGATAAAATTATTTTTAATAAAAAAAGCAGTATGTGAGATGAATAGTCTCCAGTCTTAGAAAAAGTTGTCCATTATTAGGAAGGGGAGAGTTTAGAGCATCTGTTCAGTACTCAGCTTATCTCCTTTCTTCCCTGAACTGGACACAGCATCCCTGGATATGCTGCTCTTCATTGCTTCTCACCACTTATACCTCAGGGACCTTTGGCCAGTCACCAGGGTCCAGGCCTCAGGACTAAACCCTGGGGTGGATGCTCTAGACATGGCTCTCCATGATAAATGGGACATCTGTCACCAATGAGGATCATGGTGACGGGAAGCTGCTGGTGAGTGTAAAGAGCCAGTGCTGGCTGTGGGGATTGAGTTTGGCTCCAGGAACAGACATCACATGATATATGTGCATCTAGTCTGGCACCCACTTCACAGAGTGGAACATCCAGGTGTTTGCTTGCACGATTCCAGAATATTTCCTCAGGTTCTTGCATAGCTGTGGCCATGATGTACCTGTAGGCCCTGCCTCTTTAGTTTCTCGTGGGGTTGCTGGCTTGAGTAGGTAAGCTGGTGATTCCAGGATGCAGCTCCTGTTGCTCAAAACCCCCTAGAGTATAAACAGGAGGCAAATCCAGATGTTGTGCAGTAGTATCCTAGCATAACAGCTGTCTCTATGAGATCAGCTGTGCCTGTTTGTAGGTGTATCACCTCAGCCCACAGATGGCAGGTATTCCTTCCTAGAAGCAAGGTCAAGGTTGGGTCATTGGACCCTAACTTGAGTAACTCCACCTGGCCATTTGCATACAATTCTGCCTTAAGCACACATGGCCTGGACTCCAGGAAATGCCAGAGGGTGAGATTGAATAGGCTGAGGGAGGTGAATTGAGGGCTCTTGTACTAATACACACTTAGGCACTCAAACATTTACACACTCTCTCACATACATTAGCATGCTCACAGATAATCATACACACACACACACACACACACACACACACACACTTGTACTTGGAGTTGGCTAGTGTTTTGTCAGCATAAGATAGAATCATTTGGGAAGGGGAACCTCAATTGTGAAAATGCCTTAAACACATTGGCCTGTGGCCAAGTCTGTGGTGCATTTTTTGATGGATGATTGATGTCAGAGTGCACAAAAGACATGTAAACATGGTCGTATACACACATAATCAATCACACAATCATACCTTTACACATTCTTCATAATCTTTGCACTTAATGATACACTCTCTTCTAGTTAGTTTTTATCAGCTTAATGCAAACCTAAATATTAAATGAGAAGAAGAAATCTCAATTGAGGAACTGTTTCTGGCAATTTGGTCTGTGGTCATATCTCTGAGGCATTTTCTTTATTATTAATTATTATTATTATTATTATTATGATGATGATGATGATGATGATGATGATTATGAGATTTTCTATTCATTTTACATACACAGAATCCCCTGTCCTCCCTCCTTCCACCTCCTGCTTTCCTCCTCAACCCACCCCCATTCCCACCTTCTCCAAGCAAGGTCTCCCATGGGGAGTCAGCAGAGCCTGGAACATTCAGTTGAGGCAGGTCCAAGCCCCTCTTCCCTGCACCAGGGCTGTTCAAAGTGTCTCACCATAGGCACTAGGCTCCAAAAAGCCGACATATGCACCAGGGATGGGTCCCTATCCCACTGCCTGCCCGCCCCCCCCCCCAAACAGTTCAAGCTCAACAACTGTCTCACCTATCCAGAGGGCCTAGTTCAGTACCATGGGGGCTCCTCAGCCATTGGTTCACAGTTCATGTGTTTCTGCTAGTTTGGCTAGTCTCTGTACTTTTTTCCCATCATGGTCTCCATGTCCCTTGCTCATAGAATCCCTCCTCTTTCTCATCGATTGGACTCCTGGAGCTCGGCCTGGCACCCGGCCTGCCTCCGTCAGTCACTGGATGAGGGCTCTATGGTGACAGTCAGGGCATTCAGCCATGTGATCACCAGAGTAGGCCAGCTCAGGCATCCTCTCGACCATTGCCAGTATTCTATGGTGGGGCCATCCTTGTGGATTCCTGGGAACTTCCCTAGCACTCTGTTTCTCTGTATTCCCATGATGTCTTCATTTATCATGGTATCTCTTTCCTTGCTCTCCCACTCTGTCGCTGTTCCAGCTTGAACCTCCCATTCCCCTACGTTCTCATCCCCCATCCCTTGCCCTCCATTACCCCCTCGCCCCCGAGTGTGCTCATGTAGATCTCATCTATTTCTCCTTTGCTGGGCGATCCATGCATCCTTCCTAGGCATTGTCTTAATTACTACTAATGAAGGAGGAACCAACCCACTGTGGGTGGTGCTATTCTTATGCACCTGAGCATGGTCTATATAAGAAAGGTAGCTGAGCACACGAGAAGAAGCAAGCCAGAGGAAGCCAGCCAATAAGCAGCTTTAGTCCATGGTTTCTGCCTTCAGGTCCTGCTTTGTGTTCCTGCCTTGGCTTCCTTCGCTGCTGGATGAACCTGCAAGCTGAGATAAACACTTCCTACCCAAGCTGCTTTTGCCTTGATGCCTGTCACAGCAACAGGATGTAAATCGGTCATGATGCTACAAACTCGAGCACTGCAAAACACACACTCAATATACATTCTGCCACTGATACGCATGTGAACTCACACACTCTTCCATACTTTTCTCCTCTCACCCACACTCACACATTCACACTTACTGTTGTGCTCATAAACACATGTTCTTGCATGGTGTCACTAACTCCTTACATGCACAACTACCTCACTGACACTCGCTTACACTAAAGATACTTATACTGTTGTCTGCTATACACTGTCACTTCTATGCACTCTTTCATACACACACACACACACCCACACACCACTGTAATATACTTCCAAGCACATACCCAGAGAAACACAATCCTATACTCAAACCCATGTTCTTCGAATCATGCTCATATAGGCATGAGCAAACTTATGATCATATAAACACACACATCATGATACCTGAATGTACTATTACACTCACCCGCACTCATGCTTATACACACAGTCTCACATAAGCTCACAGTGTCAATCAATGTCTTAAAATCATTGACCCTAACCTATCCCTAGCCCAGTAATGATCTTAACCACAGCTCTAATTCTAAACCAAACCCTAACAGTATGACTAACTCTAACCCTATCCCTATCCTTCCTGCAAGATGCACTAATGTAATAGTGACACAAAGCTTGTGGGAGTCACTAACTAGTCTGATTGGATTTAAGGCCCAATCCATGAGATGGAACTATCCCTGACATAGCTTGAGGGCCAAGAACCTGAGACTGCATAGCTCAGGGGCTTGGGAAAACAGAATAGTACTGTTCTGGCAATGGAAAATAGCAATAAAATACTCTAATGACATTCTGCTATCTCATAGATCAGTGTCTCCTAGGCAGCCATCAGAAACTTCCTCCTGCAATGCATGGGAACAATAAGGAGGCCCAGATCTAGACAATGTGCTGATAATAAGAGACATTAAAAACTCAGTCCTAGATGGGATGTCTCCACCAGAACTCTCCACTCAGGCCTCAGAGAACTCTTAGAGGAGGAGGCAGAAAGAGTGTAAGAGCCAGAGGGGTGGAGGACACTGGGAAATAACTTCTTCTATACATAGAAGAACCAATGCACATATGAACTCAGACTGTGTGATCACACAAAGGGCCTGCATGGGAGAGGGCCAGATGGGGTCCCAGGGCTGAGAGGAGAAGAGGACACAATCTCACATTCTTACCCCAGTTACCTCCACTTGATAACTGCTCACAAATGAAAAATTAATTATTTCCAATGGAATCTCCATGGGTATACAACCACTTGTGTGGACAGACCCTATGACCAGAAGTCAACACAAAATGAACTCAGTGGCCTTTTTGGAGGTTCTTTGCTGCATAATGCTTTTTTGGGGCATCATATTTATTCATTTATTTGTTTATTTATTTTTTTAACTTATTGGTCCTTTGCATATATATTAACTTCTCCAGTTTTGTGCTTTCACAGGATTTCTGCATGCAGGTGTGTGTGTGTGTGTGTGTGTGTGTGTGTGTGTGTGTGTGTGTGTGTGTGTGTGTATGTGTGTGTGTGTCTGCATCTATATATGCTTCTTTTCCTGTACTAATCTTTTTTTTCTGTTTTGATTTGTTTGTTTTTACTGTCTTATTTCATTTTATTATTATTTTGTAGATGCCTATTTGTAGTATTATGAGAGAAACAAAGGGTATAGATTTGGGTGGGTGGGGAGGATCTGGGAGGAAATAGGGAGAGAAAAATATAATCGTAATATACTGTATGAAAAAGATCTGTTTTCAGTTAAAAAGTAATCACTTTTATCTGAATATTTTCTCAAGGATCTTGAAGGTGGATTGTGGAATTGTTGCTGAATTCTCTGGCCCTCCTGTGTGAAGGACAGCTGCACCTTCTGTGTAGAGGTTGGGAATGACTCCTTTTCCATTTATCAGCCTTATTTGTAACCCTAGCTTTGGTCCCAGGCTTCCTTTGGGAGATCACTCAGGCAGTTCACCCGAATTCAGGATTCCTCTGTGATAAGTGCTCTCTGTGTCCTCACAGGATGGGTTGTGCTTGTTGTCCAGTTTCTCATTTTCTCAGATGAGAGGACTCATGGGACTTCTTACTCCATTGTGGCTGTGAGAAATGGCACTGGTTCCCTCCAGAATTCTGCTCTCAGACTGAATCTCTCAATCTCATCAAGACTAAAATTTCACAAAATTTCTGCCTAATTGTTGTGAGATATAGTTTCTTGCATGACCCAAACAAAAGAAGCCTAACCCACTACTTGTGCTACTTTCTCTGGCAAGGTTGCTACTATGTTTTGATTCACAAAATTTCTGAGAGGAACAAGCAACAGCACAAAACCCAAAAATCTGAGCTGTTAGAAGTCCAATTTAATTCTCCTTTTTTCCCCCTCAGGAATCTATTGACATCATAAAATACCTAATAAGATATTCTCTACCAGTGACTTATAAATTTTTTTGTAGTGAGGCTGTTGTGTTATAATTTTCCTTATGAGGACTTATTTAAAAATACCATGAGTATAAACTGCACCTTCCTCATTTTCTAGGTTATACCTACTGTTGGCTTAAGTAACACTATGATCTCCTGCCAGAATACAGGATACAGAGATCCACAAATCCTCCACCTAGCTTATCCTATATTCTAGAACAATTGGAAACAGAAATGGGTAAGGTAAACATATTTACATTTTTTTCAGAACAGAAGAATTAAAAATTCTCAGGTTCTTTCTATCAACATAGCAATTCAACTATGTATGTCTATGTATGTGTTTGTGTGTGTGTATAATTTTCAAGAAAACTTAGTTTTAGAAAAGATATAATATGCAGAACTGAGATGTGTGGAATTTTAAGAGAACTATTTAAGCAGTAGTTGAGCTGATCCCACTTGTTAGCTTTTTATATGTATCATAAGAAATGGCAAATTCTCAAACTCTTTCATTCTCAACAATATCAGCTTAAGGAACGAAGTCATGATTTCTTCCACTAGAAATCATTCCTATATTTGCTCCATCTGCATTCCTCATTCCAGGGGTATGAAAAGGTAGAAGGAATTCTGCTCCTGACCATGAGACTAACACTCCAGTCCTACAGATGACAACTAATTGTCCATACTTCTATGGTGTACAGACTGTATGTAGGTGTCAGGCATTTCTTCAGTGTTAGCTCATGTCCCCAACATCACCATAATGCTCCTCTAAGCAGTGATTGCCAGGATGATAGACTTCAAAATTTAAGAAAAGGGAAATACAGCTGTAATAATAATGGACCTATAGGATCTCACAAAAATACTAAATTTTATTTCTTCTCAATGCTATCAGTACACCTAGGAATCCAGTGTAACATTCCAGACACCTCATGGTCTGGGATCATCTCAACCTAAGAAGCTGCCCACCTATAAAAGGGAATGTCTGCCACCTAGCAGCAGCCCCTCTGGCCCATATGCCCAGAATTCACACTTGACTAGTGATTGTCCTTTCTGTCCTTCACCTGCTATGCAAGAAGGAGAAGAAGGGGAAGAGGAAAAGGAGGGTTTACCCACTGTATGGCAGGCTTTATGGGGATGATTTCAAGAATGTGCTCAGAGAGTTTCAGAGTTTGCTATACTCTTAGGAGGCCAGTGAGAAGATTGTAGCTGGACAAGGGGCACTGGGTAGATTTGGAATCAATGCTCTAAGTAAATGATCCCCTGGATACTCTGTATTGTGTTAAAGAGTCTAGTTGTTTGTTTGTTTTCCTCTTTATTCTTTTGGGGGGCCT